ACACACCAACTTCTAGACCTGACTGACACATACTGCCTAATATATCCCACCCCTTCATAAGTGCCATTGTATTGAGATAATCAATGTTATTCACGTCACCTCAAAGAGTAGACGGACTGGGAGAAGAGTTCATCAGAGTTGGTTAATAAATTCTGAGACGTGAATGTGCAATTTAGAGCCATATACCACAGCACTGTTGTTCCCAACTCTCAAGTCGGATTATTCAGAAGGTGTTGATTTCATTTTCTATAACAGCAGCGCTGACTAATATTAATGTGCTTTTTCTAATATGAGATTGTTTCAAGTCTTTCACAGGGACCTGTATAGCGGATACCCAGTCACAAATATCTATGATACTCATGGTGTTACGGTGCTCAAAAGTTTGTTTTCCTGCTGGAACCTGACACATGGAAGCAAGGACAGACAATTAGATTGTGTACCAAACAGTCTCATACACTGCTGTTGCGGTTTTACTGAAATAAATATAGACTTGCTATTAATCAGTGAAGAAAAGAGGGGGACAACAGAGGAAAGAAGAGGGAGGACTGCAGGAAGTAGTAGATATGATAGCTGAATTAATTAAAAATGACAGCTATAAGTGAAAAATTTATGTTCTCTTTGCTCAGCTTCAGGTTCTGGCAAAGCAAGCAGCTGGATCTCCATTTGGTGCATCATGTTATTCGTTTAGCTTCTCCGGGTTTTGATTTTTAACCCAGTTTAAATGTTATAAAAGTTGTCGGAAAAAGTAAAAAAGGGTTCCTTAGGGATAGGTACGGTTATTTTGTTTAATACAAGAGTTCAGGCTTTCTCTGAAAGGAGAAACCATCAGTTGCAGGATTCCACATACAGAAAGAAAAAACACCCCTAGGATGCTTTACTATCCAAATTTTTTTTTAATTATTGCAGTCCCCTTGATTAATATTGGCACCCTTGGTAAATATGAGCAAATAAGGCTGTGGAAATTTGTCTTTATTGTTGAACTTTTTGATCTTTTGTTCAACAAACTCACAAAAATATTCTGCTCTCATGGAGATCAAAGAATTTCCAACACAACACAGGTTTATCAACACAAAAACAGCAGCAGTAAGACGTATACATCATATTCATCTTCATTTACAAATAAAGCAAAAAGCATAAACCGAGTGGGTTGATTTTAATACTTCACATCTTTCCATGAACCGCTGTGTGGGCTCAGAGATGATCTTTTCCGTATGTGTAGGTTTGGGTTTATGTCTGACTCAAAAGAGAGTTTTAATGATCCTGCTGCTCCTTTCAGTGTATGACAGAGTAAATACAGACACATTGCTTCATAGACATGATCAGGGAGCTGTCTGTGTCTCACTGATATTACACTTACAGTTATATACAGTACAGTGCCCTCCACTAATATTGGCACCTTTGGTAAATATGAGCAAAGAAGGCTGTGAAAAATCGCTTAACCGTTTGATCTTTAGTTTAAAAAAAAATAATTAAAAAATCACAGAAATACTCCAATACACTAAACAATTGCGAACACAACACAGGTTTATTACAAAAAATATCTTTGTTAAATATAGGTGTGCGACAATTATTGGCAGGTCTATGAATTCATTTGAGAAAAATATATATGAAGTATCTTCCAATGAATATTTAATCAACTTTTTACTACACCTGGGTGACTAGGTATCGGAAATTGTTCACAGGGGTATAAATATGAAGTAACACACAGGCCAAATTCCCTTAGTCATTCATAACAATGGGTAAGACCAGGGAATATAGCTGTGATGTGCGGCAAAATTTTGTTGAGCTTCACAAAATGGGAAGTGTCTATAAAAATATAGCATAAGCATTGAAAATGTCCATTTCCACCATCAGGGCAATAATGAAGAAGTTCCAGTCAACTGGAAATGTTATGAACCAACCTGGAATTGGACGTGTGTCTATATCGTCTTAATACACTGTGAAGAGGACGGTTCAATTGGACAAAAAATCTCCAAGGATCACAGCTGGAGAATTGCAGAAGTTCTCCAAAACTGCAATCCAAAGTCACCTACATCACCACAAGTTGTTTGGAACGGTTTCAAGTAAAAAAAAAAAAAAGCCTCTACTCTCCTCCAAAAACAAACTCAAGCCTCTTTTGTCAGAAACTACCGGAACTTCAAATGGGATCGGGTTCTATGGTCAGATGAAATAAAATAGAGCTTTTTGGTAATAAAAACCAGAGGTGGTTTTGGAGAACGCAGAGAGGCAGCCATATGGAAAAGTACCTCATGGCCACGGTTAAATATAGAGGTGGCTCTTTAATGTTTTGGGGCTATTTTTCTGACAGAGGACCTGGACATTTTGTTAGGATACATGGAATCATGGACTCTATCAAATATCAACAGATATTAAATGAAAACCTGACTGCCTCTGGCAGAAAGATTCAAATGGGCCGTGGTTGGATCTTCCAGCAGGACAATGATCCAAAACATACATCACAATCTACACAAAAATGGTTTACTGACCACAAAATCAAGGTCCTGCCATGTCCATCCCAGTCCCCTGACCAAAAACTGATACGTTTTTGTCTTGTAATTTTGTACATTTTGGAGGGTCGTCCTGTTCTTCGTGATGTCTCTGTGGTGCCCCATTTTCTCCACTTGGTGTTCCGTGGTACATTTAATGATCTATTCCTTTCGACAGTGAGAGCCAGCTCTTTGAAGACCATGGCTTCAACAGTCAGATGAAACCAAGAAGACATGAAGAAAATCCTACAGAAACGCCTGGTCTTTTATTTGGGGTTAATCAGAATCATTTCATCGGTGACATCTGTACGCCAATTCATTTTGAACATGAGAATGAATGTGATCGGTTCATTCTGAAGACAGCCACATCGCCAATTATTGGATAAGGATGTGCACACTTATGCAACCAGTTTATTGTAAAAAAAATTTTAATTTTTCCTAAAAATGTTTCTGATGGTTTTTCTCTTCATTTTTATACACTGTAATTTCACACTGAGGGTGGGAAAAGTATCTGACACGATTCATCTGGCTTTCTTGGTTTATCTTGTATAGACTTTTTTTTTTATATCCATTGTAAACAGGGTTAAATTTGAGTTGGATTAAACGTTAATTTCAAGGTGTCAATTCCCAATAAACTCTTCACAGGAAAACAGCAGCTCAGCCGAAGTGATTTCATTGCTTGTCATGTATTAGTCTGTATTTATTAGTCGCTTAGTCTGTATGCAGACTGTGTGACGGTAAGAAGGCTGTTAACTTAGCTTGTTAAACATGCTGTGCTTTACCCACAGCCTCATGAGGAAACTAAATTCAGTTTAAAAGTGGAATATGATTGCACACGCCGGCTGGAGTTAGTTTAAAGTGTCACTCAGTGTGATTTATAGCATGTCGCATGCTGTGCATCAACACACACCCTGCAGTGGCTATAAGGATATAAGCTTAACTCCATTCCGAAACACATTGACTACGTTTATATTGAAACGTTTGTCATGCGTTTAGTATTTCTTGTTGGTTGATGCGTGTCACTCTGATGTCACATGACTAGTGTTAATGTGATCGCACTGGTATTTTCTAGAGAGAAAAAAAAATGATCTCAAATGTAGTCATAACATTGAGGTTTCATTGTTGGTGTCGAAAAAAAAAACACAAAAGTTTTATGACCTGAAAGTCTCCGAATGCAATGCAGCTACTAAGATCCACTGAGTTATGGTAAAAAAAAAAAAACTTAGCTTGGCTAGGTGGTAATCTATGAGATCTATGAGCCCGGTGGAGTTTCAAGAGCTGGGAAGATTAAATAACTAAAGTGCCGCTGCATCACTCTCTAAGTAGAGATAAAGTGAGGGCTAAATCCCACTGCACTCCACTATCAGCAGGTAGTTAAACAGTATCGTGGGTAACGTAGGAAACCATTAAGCAAAGTATAGAGCAGCATGTTGATGAAAGAGGATTTTCATTCATCATTATTTTCACCACTTACTACAAACACGCTTCCTCTTTCCATCTTTCCCGTTCTCTTTTTTTCACTTTCTGATAGGTAATGTGTGCATTTCTTACAGTATATGTTCACTGTAACTGGTTTTAGGGTCGATTCCACAAAACAAATCTCTTCACATTTGACCTGTATTCTTTTTTTCAATGCCTGGGGCTTAATGCAGTTACGGCTTTGGTCTATTGTATAACTGTGTCTTAATATCCATACAGTGCATGCTTAGATCATTCGCAGGAAACTTGGTGCAGCTGTAAACGAGTATAAGACCGATCATTATTAGCCTGAAAAAGTGAGGTTAGCAAAGGCAATAGAATAATGATTTTAAGAGCTAAGGGTTATAAAAACCACTTGACATCTATTTCAAAGCGTAAGTAGGAATTAATAGATTCAGAAAGTTCACCAGTCTGTAAGCAGGGCCTCCTGACAGCCAATTAAATGCTTGAGAGGATGTAATACTGATAATACACTTACAACCAGTATAGAGTGGCGTTTTGTTTAAAAACCGAAATGAAGTAATATGTCCTGTCTTAAATATTATGTCTATGAATAAGTCATGATGTGAAGATATGTGGTTATACCACGATGCTCTTGAATTCTCCAATCTGATTGGTCAGAAGGTGTTGATTCATTTTCTTACACAACCTCTGTTCGACTCTCACCTCTGCCCTGTGTGCATGGAGCTTGCACGTTCTCCCCATGCTTTGGGGGTTTCCACTAGGTAGTCTGGATTCCTCCCCCAGTCCAAAGACATGTGTTGTATGCTGATTTCTGAATTGTCCTGAATTGTAGTGTATGAATGTGTGTGTGACTGTGTCCTACGATGGGTTGGCACCTCGTCCAGGGTGTCCCCTGCCCTGTGCCCCAAGTTTCCTGAAACTCCATTAAGCCATTATATGGCACCCCCGGGGCAGAGAGGGTTCAGGGCCTTGTTCAAGGTTCAAATTGTTGTAGTTTGGCAGCTCTGGGGCTTAAACCGATTAGTAACCCATAGCCTTAACCATTGAGCCATCACTTCCTGAAAGTGGCTCTGTCTCTGGGTGGACTTGAACCCCCAACCATTCAGTTAACAACCGAACAAACAAACTACTTACGCCACAAAAACCTAAATGACCATGAGTGTCAATAGAAGAAACCAGAGAACCCAATGGAACCCTACATGGACATGGGGAGAGCATGTCAAGGGTCCTCAAGGTGCTCTATGCCTCCTGGGTGAAAACCTGTACTTAGAATATTTATCTCAAATCAGCATGAAGAACATATAGCACAATAATAAGACCAGTTTGGTTACCCACCGAGGAAGTAGAACTATCAGCATTCCCAACATTATAACATTATTACTGCCTTCTAAATGGACTCAAAACAGACTCTGGATTTGGTTTCAGTGGATTCCTTTTCAGTTTACTATTCTTGCATACTTTCCAAAACTCCATTTAAACTTTGAAAGTTTTGAGAAGTTTCATTTTCCTGTGTACTTTCCTTTTGAAAAAAAAAAAAGTAAAAAGAACAGAGGATGTGACCCCTGTATCTCTAAAAATATCTCCTAAAGCTAAAACTCTGCACTAACCAATTGTCCTTAATATAGCATATAAATAGTTTCAGAAGTACAAAATGTCAGAAGTCTGTCTGATATGTCAGTCACGTTCATGTTGAAATAACCTCATACATCCCTAAATAGTAACCGAATGTCTTTTCTTGGAAATTGCACCGTACAAAACCCTGAACCACAACGTAATGGTCTTTTAGCACTAAAAAGTACATTTCCATTCTGGATGACTTTCTGACTCCATCGGCAGTTCTCACTCTCCCACTCCATTGTGCAACGGGATGGACTTCCTGCGCTGCACATCATAATTTAGCTAAATGCCAGACAGCGATGGATCAGTCCTGTACTGATTACACAAAAGAAAGCCTGTATTATAATGTGTGCCTAGAGAAAAACAGGACACGGGCACTTCTTTCCTGTCTGCTCGCTCTACTGTTAGTCCATTCATACAGATTGCTGCGAGGCAGAGCTGACAAGCCAGATGGATATAACTCATGAAAGAGCAGACAGCTAATATGCGAGGCTTTCTGTTATTGATTTCAGTCCGACTCCTTGCCAAGGCGTCAGATTAAGGACAAGTGATTTTTCTTTACACCGGTTTAGCTCTTGAGAACGGTGGACTGTTGCTCCAGTTGTATATATATCTTTTGAGTAATGCCAAGATGAATCACGATGGTTGCTTGAAGAACATTTAAGGGTTGTGTAAATATTTGAAACCCTTCAATATATAATAACTCGTATGACCTAATGCAGCCTTCATGTCCTCCTCGGAAGTTCATACAGTACTTCACAACAGCGGAATTGTAAACATGATATGATGTGTGTTGAACGTGGGATTTGGTGGAAATTAATCAACACGTAAAAAATCTTCAAAATTGTACAGTCAAAACAAAAAACCATTACAATCTTTGATTTATCAGAAATATGACACATCATACTTTGTATCCATTTAGAGTTACGTTTGCAGCTTTACCGCTGACTGTTACTAAGCACTGACACTGGAGACTCCTTTCATAAATGTTCAATAAGCATCTCCTTACAGAAAAAAACTCACCATACTAACTATAATATCCACCCAGCCATCCATTTTTCATACCGCTTATCCTACACAAGGTCGTGGAGAACATGGAGCATATAATGGCTGACTCTGCTCCCTGACCCCAGAATCCTCACAAGCTCGGAGATACAAAGGAGAGTTTTCCGGTACTGTAATATACATGTGACAATAAAGGCTTTCTTGTTTTGACATAACAATGATGGATGGTTGAATTTTAGCATGCTAGTCAATGCTAGTCAACGCTAGTCAAGGCTAGTCAAAAACGTGCAGGAGGAATTGTATGCCATATTATGTTATATATATATATATATATATGTGTGTGTGTGTGTGTGTGTGTGTTATGTAACATCATTGTCCCGTAGCCAATAAAAAGGTCATTTCCCGACAGAAATAGGAGTAAAACATGAAAATTAGGTGGGTCTTAAATGCATAACATTTACATAACAGCTTGAAAAAGGCTAAGTATGAAGGAATAATATCACCAGTCTGTACGCCGGGACAGAATGAGAGAATTCAATAGTAATATTTTATTTACTGCAGCGGGTTAAGTTGGTAAACGAGTGGTCATTCTTTAAGGTCTCCATAATCTACAGCTTTCTCCTGTAAGGGAAGCGAATCCTGCTGATTGTGATTACTGCACAATCGCCTGAAACAAATGGTGTATGAAGCTACAGTCTGGGCTAGAATCAAATCAGCCCCAGCCTCACTTCATCATATCATTGTGTATTTTTCTAATGACCATTGGTGGTGCTGTTGCGCTTGGATTTCACAAAAGTCCAAAATCATCTGTTTTTAAGGCATTTGTTAAAAGCAAATAGTCTCATATTGATGTCTTTTTATCTTTGCAAGCCCATTTCATCCTGTTGAACAGGCCATCTGACTCTAGATGATTGCGTGTCATTGTGCTGCGTCGATTTATGACACCCGAAAGTTTTATACGAATGTGTTTTTCTCCATACAGTTTTATTTCACTGATTTATGACTTCAATGCCAGTGTTTGGCTCCCTGTGGAAGGCTAAATCTCTTCTATTATTTATTCTGACAGACTCTGCCTACACAAATGACCAAAAACCTTCACAGTCACATAAAAGCCTTTACAGCTAAACAGAATAGTAATAATTAACGTATAAACGAATTTGTTGCATATTGGTAACGATCCTTTGAGCACCATTGTGGCCTTTAGAACCTGAATTCAATTCAATTCATTGTGTTGTTGTTGCTGAACTTCTAAGAAGTTTTTCAATCTTTTTCTTCAACATTATGACTTCTTTTATTTGGGCCATGATTTGGATTGTAGACTTGTTGTACGATATGCCCACATTGGCAAATATCGAACATCTTCGATGTTTTTTTTCCCTCACTAAAATCCCGTTTTAGATACGTACATTATTTAGTTGCATTGTTTCCTTGGGTGGGCAATCATTGTTTTTCTAAGATGGCAGTCGGTCTCTCATTCAAGCGTGTTCAGTAATTCGAAAATATACAGATGTTAACCTTTTACTAGAGCTTGCTAGTGCTAGCGGGTTTAGAATAGTGCTTTGCTAAGATGAATCAATGTAAAAAAAAAAACGTATATAATTGTATTTATAAGGTGTTGAGCCACAAGGCACTTCCAGAACAGCTTCAAGGCACATTGGCACCTTGGACGAGACCACGATAGATAGGTTTCATCAGGATAGAAGTGTTTCATTATAGGATAAACCTCATCAATCAGATGAACTGAAGGGGACAAGTGGCAAAATATTTATTTTCCTGAAAAATAAAATGACACTTGCTCCAATGGCTAGGTTCAGCCCTTACAGAGAATACTGTATGTCTCAGATTTATACATAAGTTTTATAGCTCTTTCTTGTGTTTGGGAGTCTTACACATGGCTTTAAAGCACGTAGCATCTAGAGGAAAGTGGCTGCCGTACACCGTTATATTGTTCACTTTACAGAACACTACTTGTGGTTACGGCTCCTTCTTGATGACTGCGTTTGTAATTTCCAGCTCAGATCTAAGAGGATCCCTGTAACCCATGAGTCAGAGGCCTCAGGCGGTACACGCTGTGACCAAAGGGTCCATAAGAACAGCAGTTTCCATGACCCTGAGTTTTTTCGAGGGCTGAGTCACAGACCAAAATGACAAAACGAAGACGACGATCGAGTCCTTCGGACCAATTTAACCCTGAGAAACAAAAAGAACCCCTACGTCTTCCTACAACAAAACACGAGTCGACTTTTCCCAGAATTCCCCAGTGAGTAGTTTATGACTGATAAATCTGCAGGCTATGAGAAATCCTGTGGCCAAACCAAACCCTTATTTCTAGTAATGTTTGAGGTGTAACCGTGTGAATCGTTTAGTATACCACGGCGTTGCTGAAGTCTCAGTGTCGGCTGGGTAGAAGGTGTGGATGGTTTTTCTATATATTAGATTTATATTAGAATTGTGCGACGTTGAAGTTTTCTGAAGCATTTATGGAAGGAGTCTCCAGTGTCAGAGCTCTGCATCGAGGCTTGACGCTTGATGTACGAAGCAGAAAACACGGGGACGAACAAAACAAAGCATTTAGCTCCAAAATTAGCCTTTTTATTCAGGTGTTTCGGGGTGAATAATTGGAATTCCAGTACATAAGATTATCCACAAAGTGTGTGTGTGTCAGAAACTTTTCCGGCTCTTAAAGCTGATAGAAACCAGCAACAATCCGCCCTTTCCTCTTCCCCGACTCCACCAACCCCCACACCCCCCCCAACCTCACCATCACCTTCGTCCCTTTTTGGTACAAATTTAACACTTGTGCTGATAATGTTACTCATTTTGTCCTGCTTTTGATTCTTTTTTTTTCTTTTTTTTTGTGGAGTAACCTTCTTACCATTATTCATTTTTTTGACCTTTTTTTTATTTTTTCTTACAAAAAAACCCCCCAACTTGTACCTTCCACATATCTTGCATCAGCTGAGATCGTTTTTCGCACTCCATACATACATTTTGGAAAGAGGTCCTTTTTTTCTTTTAAACCATTGTTGTGAAAAGATAAAAACATGCAAAAAAAAAATGTCGTAACCCGATTTGCTTTTTTTTTTTTTTTTTTTAACATTTACAAGATTGAAACCATTTTTGCACTTCTTTATCGACTACATCGAAAGTAAAAGAAGAAGAAATAAAAGAAATATGTACACACATTGTTTTTTTTTTTTTTTTTTTTTACAGTAGAGTAAAAACTGAGGGCATCAGATGGCGGCAAATGAAGTGCACATGAATGAGAGCAGAAAGGAAACAACTGCTGCCTTTTTTTTTTTTTTTTTTTTTTTGTAAAAATGTAATACCACCTCAGAAAGAAAAGTAAAACTTTTTTCTTGACAACTCCCTCCATCTGCAACCATCTGCATATGTAACTTTCAATGGGAAAAAAAATCGTAATTTTTACCGTACTGTACACTGATCTTTCTTTGTTGATCTCTTCATAAATTCGTTAAATTACGCGTTTTTTGTCGATGGTAACCAGGAAAAAGAAACATCA